GGGACAGTCGTTGGTTGGGAATACGTAACACATATCCCAGTCATCTCAACTGACGAAGTTTCACTACTTTATCAATTGATTTGTCATATTCACCTAGTGCCCGTTTCCTAACAACTCCATTACTTACTTGATGGCCTGAGGATATATATATATATGAAAATTGTTTTGTTAAAGTACTAATTCCGTGAGGAAATGTGAACACGAACATGGAATGGTCGGCTGACCAATTTTTCTAGCTGAACTTATTTAAGCAGAAAGAGAAACCTCATTCACTCTTTATGTCATCGGATATGTAGTACGGAATGCATTGACGAAGAACTCGCATTCCTCAGAAAAACTTTGAAGAAAAATAGCCACTCAGTCTGCTTCATAGATAAGAAAATGAACAGAAGTAGTTGTGACAAGAAATCTGGTCGTTCCGTCCCAAAGAAAAACCTCTATATAAGTTTGGAATTCAAAGGTGATTGAACACCTAATGTAATTAGAAATCGTCTAGCGACAGCGATTAAAAGAACATTCAATGCGGCAAAACTGCGAATAACGTTCAGTTGCAGGAACTTATTTTCTGTATCTATAAAAGATAAGCTTCCACGTCTGGACGACTCCATGTGAATCTATCAGTTCAACTAGGTCTTGTGGAACAAGAGCCAGCGCTCACTTTCAACTTCGGATATGGGAACCCGCCTCAGTTTGGTTCTACAAGGGTGATAGGAAGACAGTAGGAGTTCTATACTTGAACAGCTAATCGACTATAATCATTCTACGCATCCATAGTTTGATTTTAAGGTTGTATATATGATTCATTCAAATCTACTTAAATTTCTTCATATCTAACTCTTAAAAATAGCCTGAGTTCTTACCATCCATGAGCTGAAGCCAGAACTAGGCGTACAAAAGTAGTACGTTCTATCGCTATCGTTACCTTGGCCATTATTATTATTACTGCATTTCTCCGTTACTTATGTCTCATATACTCATTGTTTTATTCACAAATACTCATCATATCACTTTATTTATGTTTTACACCTCTATGACTTTTACTTACGCCTGTTACTCCTCGTGGATGAGCCCACCAGCACTCTCCATCCAACCGTGTCCTGGGCAATCCTTTCCAGTTGTTGAAAGCCGAGATTCTATGACCATTAATTATTGTAACAAGAACATTTCAGCCATCTTACTATATTTACGTTATAATTTGTTACTAACTTACTAAGTCTGTTGTTACTATTCCTATTACGTAATCTAGTATCACATTTTTTCGATTACGTCATCTCCGTTATTCCTTGTTCACATTTCCTCACGGAACTAGTACTTTAACAAAACGATTTTCAGATGTATACGATTGTACAGCTTGATAATAAGTTCATTGTAAAGAGATTCCTTCGTTGAACTTCGTGTTTTTGAAATTTAAAACTGTTCATTAATATAGTGTTTAATTGTTAAGGGAAACAACCTAAACAAATACAAAAGACTTCATACCATTACCCTAATTATGACTAATCGTTATGTTTGTAGACAGATGAAATTATTGATTTGCATTATGGATTATTGGGTTGTCATAGTTACATGAGTTGATGTATAGTTAACTAAGTACCTAATAGAGAATAAATTCACGTAAATGTAAACACACCCAACACAGAAATTAACGTAGAGAGTTTACAGATTTACTTTAACCTTACAAATAACCTTATGAATAATAAACTAGAGGCAAGTTAATAGTATTGTATTTAATAGTTGGATTCATGAATCGATTAAAGCTAGACTATCATGGAAACCTAAAAGCATTGGATGGCTGTTTCCTTCCCAATATGAGGACTCCTCAGTAGTGCGCATCCACGATCCTGCACGTGGAACTCGTACCCAAGGCTTTCGGTTTCGCGCGTATTGCTGAGGAACACCACACTAGGACGATACGGCCGCTCAATGCTTCCAGGTTTTCCATGGTGATCTAACATCAATTGATTCATGATCTCAATCAAAAACTTAATAATCTCCATAGCTCTATACTGAGTAAGCCCAGGTGGAAAGTAAAAATACTAGTTATACCGTTTTATAAAACAACAGGATGAACTGTCTTAATCAAATACAAAATGTGATAGTAAAAGTGAATAGAGTCGATATAAACCACGGAAAATCATATGGTGATTTCATCACATAACATTGAATCACATAGAATGAAGGTAGAATAAAAAAACCCAACTTGCGATGAAATGACTTTCAAAAGTAATTTAGGAGGTCTGATCACCAGTTTGTTTATAAATCAATCTATAACAATACTGTTAACATCGTACGTATTTATTATTTACTTAAACACATAAACATTGGTACAAGGAGACACCAAATATATATGCACTGTATAAACCATTCGATTTGTATGGGGGGTGGGATACTGCCTGGGTGCTCAAACTGAAGTAGGTAGTTTTCTTAGGGGGCCATACTAGGAGCCTTCAACCTAAAGGTCTAATCCACAAGGCAGTGGAGCAACGCAAGGGAACGCCATTTGTCTCCTCAGGATACTGGAGCCCATGTGTTATGACTGTGGACTGCAGATTAGAGGGCAGCGAATTATCGATCGGACCAGAGACGCGTAAACACGTAAGAACGGCCTAGAGTCCTGATTGGCCCCGCTTCCCTGTCTAGCCAGCCAGTTGAGTCCAGAACGTAAGTCTCAGCCTCTGAGGTATGAATCGTTATATTTCAAGCATACTCTGTTTATATACCAATCAAGCAGACCACATCGTACCATAAAATAGAAAATGACATTTCACACGTGAAATAAGTATTGAGCAGTAGGAAATGACACGTGAAATAAATATTTGCCAATAGGAAAGTGATACCATCTCAAGTCCAAGAATAGCGTTAGACTTAATAGAATAATTTTTAAGATATTTTCCTTAATATCCCAACACCATGTGCACGATTTGTTTGGAATGAGAGTTTTCTAACTCCTGTAGGTGGATCCTCCATATCCGTCAACCTGGTTAATGCGCGAGACATTCGCTTTTCGTACTCTCAATTTCGTAAATAACACCCACACCACGAGAAGGCAGTGGTTGTATGCACGTGACCACTTGAGAGCATTTGGAGAGGAAGAGCTGGCTCTCCCCACTCTTGGCCGTACCTGGGCATTTGGGTGCAACATCATATGTAAATAGTGCCTGTACAACATTTTACGAAGATGAAAACAATCCTTGTGAAACAACTAGCCTTGTAAATACTATATATATACTTCCTAAAAACAGATACTGTATATGCATAGTTGATCTTTTTACTCTAACTGTTTTTGTCCACGCAAAACGGAAGATTTTTACTTAGAGACAATCTTTACAGTATTAGCCCACAAATGCCCTGGTACGGCCGAGAGTAAGAAAAGTCCGCTCTCCCTCTCGAAATGCTCTCACATGGCCACGCGTATATAGCCTCTGCCAGGGAAGTCCTACTCACTGACTTCTCGTGGCGTTACTGTTGTTTACGAAATTGAGAGGACGAAAAGCGAATGTCCGGCGCTTTAACCGGATCCCAAACCAATGGTGCACATGGGCTCCAGTATCCTGTGGGAACAAATGGCGTATGAACCAATTGTTCGTCACTGGCTTCCATGGGACTGCATCGCCTGACGATGCTCCACTGCCTTGTGGATTAGACCTTCAGGTCGAAGGCTCGGGGAGTGGCCCCCTAAGAAAACCACCTGGTTCGGTTTGGGCACCCGGGCAGTATCACAGCCCTCACACATATCGAATGAGATTTGTGTGGAGAATATGTATTCGGTGCCCCCTTGTACCAATATCCATGTGTTAAAATAATAATAATTTACAGTATTAAGAATGAAGAGAATATGCAGTACACTACTTGTTCAAAATGTGTTTAAGTGAAATAGCAGTGGATACACTGGAATCATTGAAGTGTGAAAGTATTGGGTGAGACACTAATTTATGAACAACCTTTGAGCGACGTTAAAGTGACCTTGAGAGTGTCCACCTAATAAGTGAGACTAAATGAGTGTTATGATTCAGTGTGAGGAATCATAATTATGATTTACAGTTGATGGTTAAGGATTAGGGAACTAGATTTCGATTTTCATCACGAACTGACATCAGCTATAATGCCAAACTTCTATTTAGCCAAATGAATAAATTTCGCGCCAAAATCCGAGACCTTTTATCCTTGAATGTGATTGGTTCGTACATAAATTATAGTTTCGCGATAAAAAAAACCTACTGAAACCATGTTTTAATGAATTACGTCAATCAAAATGTAAAAGAATCTCTAGATTTAATTTCACTTGTATCTTCCCATGGTTATTTAGGATTGCAATTGGTCAGTCGCTTGTTGGCATATGTGCATACTGTGTGGATTACCGAGATATAGCCTTACGCCGCAAGTTTTTTAAACACATATAGTGGTTAGCAGTGAAATCCAGTTTGACGCTTGTTTCGTTTTATTTGAGACTCGTCACCTGGATATACCTGCATCTCAGAGTTGATGTTCACTCTGGGGATCGAATGCTGTACCGTTCGCAAGTGGCTATCAGGACTCAGTGGCTAAAAGGGTAGCGCGATGGCGTTGAAGCGAACGTTAGCGGATTCGAGTCCCGGAGTGGACATCAACTCTGAGATGCAGGTACATACGTCTGACGAGTCTCAAATAGGACGAAACGCGCATCAAACTGATTCCACTACTAGCCACTATCCATCTTTGCATATAATTTCTAGATTTCATCAAAGTTAATAACAGAAATAACATGTAAGCCTAATGATGTATGTACAAGAAACTGAATCACCACGGTTACAGTAATATAAGAAAAAATAGATATAAAGAATGAATACACCTTTTTTGTAAATTCTTACATCTGTAATGTTTTGATAAATAAGGTTCACCTTGATAATGTTTTACATTGAATGTATTAATGACTGTAGGTTACAAAATGTTTAAATGAAATTCACAAAAAGATCAAATGTTGAATGAGATTAGTTTATCCAGTGGATTTCTCTCTTGGTTTATTAACTGTATCTAGATGAGTTTTGTAATCCAATTGAACTTCGTGCTAATTCTGCCTGGAATAATGTAAAGAACAGTTTGAGAGAAAGGTTACGACATATTACAACCATAGATACTATAAATACTTCTGTATTGATAAACATGTATATAAATGCACACTGCTGAGGAATCTCATAATAGGACGAAACGGCCGTACAGTGCTTCCAGGTTTTCCATGATAGTCTAGACTCAATTAACTCATGAGTTCAACCATTATTATATGTATGTATATGTGGGTCATATTAATTAAAGCTCCTTATAGCTTAGTCAATATCATCCTGTAAATGGCACAAAAATAATATGGCCCAAATAGTTCCATACAGCGAGACTAATTTATGAACTAACCAATCAGATTTAAGGATAACAGGTCTTGGATTTTGACGTGAAATTCATTCATCCATTCGTTTGAATAACGTTATGGCTTTTTAGCTGATGAAAATTATGAATCTAATGACTAACCTTAACCATCAGTTGTAAATCATAATCCTTATTCTTCATCCTGCTTTATAACCCTCATTTAGCTCCAGTAATAGATGGAAATTCTCAAGGTTATTCTAGCGTCGGTCAAAGCTCGTCCATAAATTATAGTCTCACAATCCGCACAGGATGCACATATGTCAACATAAGGCTGATCAATGCAGTTCTAAACAACAGTGGGGAGATACAAATAAAACAACACCAAGTGAACTTAAACTTCACTCCATTGAACAAGTAGGTGGCTATCAGGATTTAGTAGCTAAGTGGATAATGCGATGGCGTTTGAAGAGAATATCAACTTTGGGATGCAAGTACATCCAACTGGCGAGTCTCAAATAGGGCGAAACGCGCATCAAACTGGATTCCACGGCTAGCCGCTATCCATGTTTGCTGAATATAAATTAGTGTTATAAAGAACGTAGACAAGGTTAAAGTAAACGAATTACAACAATATAAATTTGTGAAGTTCACACAAACTTATCGAGTGTTTCGTCCACCAAAGTTATCTGAACTTCAGGATAATAATCAAAATTATCATTAAACGGAATGATTCAGAAGAATTATTTGAACATATGAACAGAATTTCGGAGAACATTAAGCTAATAAAGGAAATAGAGTCCAGTGATCATAAACTAGAGTTTCTTGATCGTTTGTTTGAACGAATACATAATGATAATAAGTTGAAAGTAAACGTATTCAGATAATCAACACATTCTGAGAGATACTTAGAATATGGTTCAGCTCATGCGTTTTGTACGGAACTCACAGTTGTAATAAATTTAATTAACAGAAGTAATAATCTCGTTACAGATAAAGAAGACCAATAGGTTGAATTGAATAGTTTTGTCTATGCTTAGGGATAACAATTACCCCAAAGAGTTTTTAAAGAAGATTATTAAAAATGAAAAACTAGAATGTATACCGAGAGATTGGAAGTCCATCGTGGTCATCCCATACTGTAATGAAACATCGGATGAAATCAAGAGGATTCTAAACAAACATGTTATAAGGGTGTATTTTCAGGAGTGTGACACCATAAGATTGGCATTAGGAAAGGTTCCCAAAGGAAGAACAACAGAATGTTGTCTATGAGATCAACTGTCATCGATTGTAATGCAGCTTACGTGGGAGAAACATCCGGACAATTGAATGTAAGGTTGAAGGAATACAAACAGTGTTTGAAAAATATTTCCAAATCTTCGGTTGACTTAAAGAAACTTGAGAATAAGTCGGCGATAGCGTTACATGCATTGGTAACAGAACACAAGATCAATTTCGAAAGGACCAAAATACTTCAGAAAGGTTTTAACACTCATAAGGGAAGATTGATAGCAGACTCACTGTATATATGGGCGAACAAGAACATCCTGGATCGAAAGGATAGTATTTAAGTAACAACTATTTGGCAAATATTTGTTAATAAGTAACTGGATCCCTTCTCTATCCAATCTGTTCATTTCACATACATCGTTATTCTGACTGAAATTAATGTGGGTTATTATAGCAATACACAATTATGTATTTGATGATTCAAAACCAATTTTTCAACCTTCAACTTGTACTTTTATTCTTTCTTCATATAACAACAAATGTAACACCGATTATCAACTATTAATAACTCAATCTTACACAAACACACACACATAAATCATTTAGTCATTGGGAACTTTTCGCATGTAACCAACTCATTTACTAAAGTCAACATCCAAATATGATTGGATTAGCACAGCATAGATTTGATTGTTGAACGCTATATATATATTTCTTTGATGATCTTGATTTCGATTATTACCCTGAAGAAGTCCAGACAAGTTTGATGGATGAAATGTTGGAATTATTTTAAATTTCAATCACTGAGATTACTTCAAATATAATGACTTATATATACTCAGGGACCAGTTTTTGTCAAACTATTCGTTCTAATATTGACGAATATTCGTATAAATAATGATGATAATAATAGTAATAATAATATCTAAGATACATTAACTAGGTATTGTTTGTTTGAATATTTCCATTGTTTACTTGAATATTCCCATTCATGTTTAGAACTGCAATTGATCAGTCTCGTGTCGACATATGTGCATACTGTCCATATTGCCTTGATATTGTCATAGTTCTCAAATATTATAAGCAAAGAGGATAGCGGCTAGTAGTGGAATCCAGTTTGACGGATGTTTCGTTTTATTTGGGACTCGTCAGCTGTATACACCTGCATCTCAGAGTTGATGTTCACTCTGGGACTGATCAATTGCAGTCCTAAATAACAGAGGGAAGATACAAGTAAACAACACCAAGGGAATTTAAAACTTCAACCCATCGCACAAGCAGGTGTGTTTCAGAACTCTGTAGCTAAATGGATAACGTGATGGCGTTTGAAGCGAGTGATATTGAGTTCGAGTCCCAGAGTGAACATGAACTCTATATGCAGGTAAACTATCCATCTATGAATATCTAAGATAGATTCAAGTTATTGAATTCCATTTACACTAAGTTTGAAACGTCAGAATTATATATTTCTAATCATTGGGATATCACAAAAATATATATAAAAGGAAAGGTTTCCTATACACTTCTCAAATTATATAATCCCATAATTAGGATAAATGTTGATAAGATTGATTCTTAAGTTGTTTAAGGTGTTATGGATAATTGAACGTATTGCTTATGTACCAGAAGTTATATTTGCTTTTTGGTGAGACTGTAATTTATGGACGACCTTTAAGCGACTCTAGCCCGACCTTGAGTGTCCATCTAATACAAGGACCAAATGAAGGCCACAAACCTGTGTGAGGACTTTGAATTATGATTTGCAGTTGATGGTTAAGGTTAGGAATTAGATTTAGAAGTTTCATTACGAACTGACATCAGCTATAATGACAAAACTCTATTTAACCAACTAGATGAGTGGATTTCGGGCCAAAATCCGAGACCTGTTATCTTATAACTGATTGGTTCATCCATAAAGATTCAGATAGCTATTACTTAGAAGATTCAAAGTTCGACAATTTTCAACAAACAATTACTTAGACTAGAGATTATAACAAATAATTGATTTACACTGACTGTACGACTCGCTTGCAGGTAAATGAACTAGAATCCAGTTGCTGACCATCTTAGTATTTAGCCTTAGTAAGTTAACATTTACTATTATTATTATTATTATTATTATTATTATTATTATTATTATTAGTAGTAGTAGTAGTAGTAGTAGTAGTAGTAGTAGTAGTAGTAGTAGTATTACATACCTTTCTCTCATCATGTGAGTGTGAACAGTAATATATTCCCTGTTATTAAAATGTATTATAGTGTTAAAATGTGTGGTTGAAATCTTATTCGTTTCAGTTAATCAACATATGCTCACTAGTGATTGGCTTCAAGAGGTATTTCCTGGAGTTCTATTGAGAGGCAGTGACCAGTGGGGTTCAATCGGGTCTGTTGTGAAATAGTAACTCACTGATGACAATGGTAGATGTTTCGCTCAATTTCATGGATTAATTGGAGTTAGACATTAACACGGTTGGATGCCGGCCATCTCACTGGTCTAGAGGTTGATCGTTCGCGAGCTAGACTGATAGGTTCTGAGTTCGAATCTCACGAGGCGAGATCGTGAAGTTGCACTCCTGATTAGTCCCACAATATGATGAAACGGTCGTCTAGTGCTTCCAGGTTTTCCATGGTCGTTTAGCTTCAGTGACTTATGATCTCAACTACTAAAATTTATTATTACTTTTTATTAGTAATTGAACGAAACTATCTTGTTCTGATAATTTAAAAGACAACAGTTCAAAACAAAATTAGTAGAATTACCTGATGTTGTCTATAAGCTATTCGTTCTTTGGCAAGGTAATTCAATGATAACTGTTCAACATAATCAGTTATTTTATGCCTAGCTATACATATGAAGTAGATCATGAATATAAGTGGTATAATTGTGAGGCCTAATAGTAATGGACCAATAGTTTGACCACGGTTAATTGTGTAAAATTCCATGCCGATTACGTAATGCAGTATGGTTAAAATTATCCCTATAAGTAATAACATGATACTGAATATAGCTAGAATAGTAGCCATAAAACAGCCACATCTTGCTGGACCATTGATTAACGGATCAGGTGACCATACACAACAATCACTATGTACACCGTCGTTATAAATAACATGGCATGAGTTTCTGTTCATTGGTGTAGCTAAAGGATATAATTGATGTGCTCGAATCACTTTCTGTTCTTCTAATGGAATTTTGATAGTTTTCAATAACTCTTCAGGTTTACTGATTGGAAGTAGATTATTCCGTGTTTCCATGAAATACAAGTTCTGAAATACGAAAAAGTCACTAAATTTTGAAATTTATAGAAACCACTCAATGAGTAACATCATACACTTAGTTCTCTTTATCACCTTGAAAATGAGTAAGAACAATGAATTGAACAGAATAACATGAGTTTATTATATCTCGCTAGGTTCTTATCAACTGATTACAACCTAAAATAAATTAAAATCAATATTATCGTAAAGGTTTTACTTACTTATAACAGCAAACATGGATATGTATCATCATAATGAAGTACTGAGATCAAAAACATCCAAAGAGTAGTGCAAATTAATGTAATAAACGCGTGAAGATTCTGGATGGTTCGACGAAGTAACAAGGAGTCATAGAGCTAGAGTAATTCATTGATAATGTGATGAAGTAGTTGAAAATAACTCCACATGCAAATCTTCTAGGATTAATGTCGGTTCCAAGCCCGGGTGAATGAGCAGGGTTGAGTGTGGGGTTGGCAACTCCACCTCGTAGAAAACAACCCTGCCAAAAGAACGTTAACCGGATTAAACGAATCCAATCATTTAAACTCTGTCCTGTGAGTTGAAGGAATAATTATAACGCTTCATGCTGAAAGCTACGAGGCTGATGCCTCTTCTAACTACCAGAGCAACGATTAACATTGATGTATGGAATGTCTGGACAATGTGGAAGACTCAGAGGACAGTTGATAGACTCAAATCTTTTAGGCTCATTAGTCGACAGTCAAATTCCTTCCTCAAATCCGTTCAATCTATGATCATCAAACGTCTTAAAAAGGACTTAGGTGTCCAAAAGGAAACAGTTGCGAATCTTTCTTTACCATGATGATTTTAACATCGATTTATTACATCACTCTAGCAGTTGTTTTTCCTCACATTGATTTCACTGCTTATTTCAAACTCAAAAGTTTATTCTTAACAGACTGTTCTCAACTTACTTACGTCTGTTGCTCTCAATGAAGTATAAGCCGACCAGCATTCTCAAACCCACTCTGTCCTGAACCTTTCTTTCTAGCTCTATACAACTTTTGTCTCCATTTCTAGGCGTAATGTGTTCTTCGGTCTTGAGGGTTTCAAGTGAGGTCTCACCTTGTAACCCACTTGGGTGCTTTCCTCAATGTGTGTCCTATCCACTTCCAGAGCTTCTTCCTGATTTCTTACTCCGCTGTGATCTGGTTTGTTCTTTCCCACAGTAGGTTGTTGCTGATAATGTCTGGTCAACGGATCCGAAGTGTTTTGCTTAGACAGCTGTTAATAAACACTTGTATCTTCTGGATGATGGTCTTTCGTAGTTGTTCAAGTTTCTGCCCCATACAGTAGAACTGTCTTGACATTTGTGTTGAAAATTCTGACTTCGGTGTTAGTTTACATTTGTTTTGAGTTCCAGATGTTCTTCAGTTGTAGATATACTGCTCTTCTTTTGCTAATCCGCACCTTCACATCCGCTTCTGATCCACAGTGTCCGTCAATGATGCTGCCCAGATATGTAAAGGTTTTTACATCCTCCAAAGCTTCTCCGTCAAATGTGATTTGATTGGTGAATGCTGTGTTGTATTTCTCGAATTATGCTACTCTCAATTATTATTAATTTATGTTCAACTACCACTTCACATTATCAATTAATTACTCCAGCTCCATAACCATCGGCTTTCATCATGAAGCGTTATAATTATTCCTTCAACTCACAGGACAGAGTTTAAATGATTGGATTCGTTTAATCCGGTTAACGTTCTTTTGGCAGGGTTGTTTTCTACGAGGTGGAGTTGCCAACCCCACACTCAACCCTGCTCATTCACCCGGGCTTGGAACCGACATTAATCCTAGAAGATTTGCATGTGGAGTTATTTTCAACTACTTCATCACATTATCAATGAATTACTCTAGCTCTATGACTCCTTGTTACTTCGTCGAACCATCCAGAATCTTCACGCGTTTATTACATTAATTTGCACTACTCTTTGGATGTTTTTGATCTCAGTACTTCATTATGATGATACATATCCATGTTTGCTGTTATAAGTAAGTAAAACCTTTACGATAATATTGATTTTAATTTATTTTAGGTTGTAATCAGTTGATAAGAACCTAGCGAGATATAATAAACTCATGTTATTCTGTTCAATTCATTGTTCTTACTCTCTTCGACAAAATTATTTTGTTGAACGACAATGTTTCCTAGAATTTCATATCAACTGGATAGTCATTCTATGTCTGAACTAAGTAAATAGCTTCTTTATTCTTGCTTAAAACATTTGAACAGCATTTATGCTTAACACCACAATAGATATCATTTAATGCATCGACGCCTCACGAGTAGCGTAATGTCATTCCAGTCAATAAATATCTTTGAAACTGAATTTAATGAATTCGTGACGTAATAAACCATAGTTAATTGTATTCATTAGATACTTATCCTCAACTTCAATTTGGTCGACTTTACAGATAACCTTTTCCCATTATAAACTATTTATGATATTGGTCAGTTTAAAATGGGATGGATTAAATCAAATTGTTTCATTCTTCGCTTATCTGACAGATAAATTAAATTCATCGATGTATTATTTACTTGTTTCAGGATGGGTTTGTTGATGTTTCCATTTGGAAATCAATATAAAGATGGAGGATATTTATCTGTCTAATAACAATATATGATGGTAGTGTTATCATGTGCATTAACTTGACTTGAAGATCATGAATTGTTGTACCCATCCTTGCCTTTTGACTAATTCCGTGTCCATTAGAGACAGGTAGCTACTTCACTATAATGGAAGACGGTCGCGAAATTTCGTGGATTGGTTGAGGTTAGACATTAACACCGTTGGATGCCGGCTATCTCATTGGTGTAGAAGTTAAGCGTTAGCGCGCGAGACTGAAGGCCATGGGTTCGAATTCCGTGAGTGGAATCGTGGATACACACTGCTGAAGTCCCACAATAGGACAAAACGGCCGTGCAGTGCTTCCAGGTTTTCAATGGTGATCTAACATCAATCGGTTCATGATCTCAATCAAAATTTAATAATCTCTTCACCTCTATACTGATAATTAAATTTTTTATAAAAGTTTGTTGCACTATGCGTAGAATTCAGTCCATTTAGTAAAAAGAATATTAAACTAAACTACTGGCTGATATATATATATATATATATATATATATATATAGTATTTTGTTACCATGAAAATGCCCCGCATCATAAATCGATGTACCATCTTAAAAATTGTCAACAAATTGAAGGTATTAGTATGGTGTATGCTACATATGTCGATAGATATATGTAGTAGTATGTATCATCAATCGAAAGTGAAATACCTGATGGCAGAGGTTAAGAAGATCAAAGAAAAGAGAACATAGAATGGTTGGTATGGAAACGAATGAACAACAAATTCCGGGACGATTGATGGATATTTTGCAAATGAAGTATTTAATGTATGATTCCTAAATTTCACTAAGTGATTCTGTAATTTTGTATTCAAATACATTTGATTGTCCATAATTGTATTCTTGTTCTTCACATTAAATGCTTATTTAATGATACTTTGACATCATTTAAAGGGAAAATACTATGTAGATCATTTCAGATGACAGTATATCAATAAATTAATCATTAAATTTAACTTCAATGACTGAAGTTTTCAGCCTTATTGAACCAATAATAAACTAGGACTTTTCTTTCGAATTATGTTCAGAGGGCTTCCTCCGTTAAACAATAAATATCATGCATTCTAGTTCCTATCACTTAGCTAGGTGGATGTATTATAGTGTTTGATCGATAAAGATCTACCAGTACTAAAAACTAATTCGTGAATTGGTTGAAGCTAGACATTAACACCGTTGGATGGCGGCCATCTCAGTGGTCTAGGGTTTAAGCACTCGCGCATGAGGCCGAAGGCTCTTGGGTTCGAATCCCGTGTGTGGGATCGTGAACACGCACCGCTGAAGAGCCCCACACTGGGGCGAAACGGCTGTCCAGTGCTTCCACGTTTTCCATGATGATCCAGCTTTAATTGACTCATGGACTCAACTACTAAATTAATTCTAAATAGTCAATTTTACATAGTCAACTAATTAGTTAATTGAATTTATGTTTAAATTAAACTAAATTATTCATAAAAAAGTGTTCAGACTTACTATAATAATGTAAACGTATATACAACACTAATAAAATCACAACTACCTAACTCGGAGTATGTTTGTTTTCTGACCAATCGTTATCAAGTTTAATAAGCCAATCATTATTCAGTAGAGACAATAAGATTAACTGTATACATAACTATGAAAGTTTCGTTTGATCCACCTCTAAAGATCCACTACAAAGTTGGTTTTATGGACGTTTGACTTCTGGTACATATTGTAAAAAGAGCTCATCGAAGTTCTTTCCAGAATCCTTTTTATTATATTATAAAACCATTAGTGATGATTGTTTAGAGTCCCTGCTACGTCTAGCACTAAACCTATCTTTAAATTTTTGATAGTTGTATAGATATTTCGAATATACCGATTAAATCAAAGAAAATTTATTCAGCAAAGAAATCCTTTACAACGACTTCATGAGTGCTGTTAGAGGCATGAGGGTGGTTATCACTTTCCGGTCGCCTACGACGATAGTTCTCCCACAAATACCTGAAAAGGAAATCGGCTCAGAGTCAGTCTTGATGATCTAAACACGACTAAACTAACCGGCCCAGAGAACAAAACTCTATCAAAAAAGACGGGGAAAACTACAATGGATATTTTTTTGGAGCAACTAGAAGCCTATATGGAGCTTGTCATTCAGACCCGCATACACAGTTCTTCGCAGTACTGAAGGCATTACAGAACAATTTCAACAGGTACATCACACCTCGTATGTCTGATAGTGATGTCTCGGAACCTCGCAAACTTGGTGAAAAAGCTATTCCCAAGTGTAAGAATCTAACTGATCGACAACGGTTAGGTCAACCTTTCAACAATATCGATCTGCACCATGTCTCAGGAACAGACGTGTTACGAATGTAAGAGGTCA